CCAAAGACACCGCCTTCGTTGGTCGTAAGAAGCATCATGAGGTCATGAACTGAGTTTTAAGACCCTCGCTAAGATGTCATGTCTGTCTGGTGGCTTTTGGTTTGGATAAAGGTAAACCTGGATCTCCTTTCATTTGGGATTCCAAGTGAAGGTGATGAAGAGATGGGGCGTGCCATATTGGCTGATGTACGCCATGGCATCCTGAGTCTTCTCATGCATGCATGCATCTTGGTGGAGCCGTGAAGGATGAAGGCAAAATAACTAATCTGCCGACATTGTAAGCATTTGCATCTCCTTCCGCATTGATGGTGTCCCAGAGATGAGCATACTGTTCACACGCAGGCGGTTTTGATTCAGTTGAATGTAAAGAAGTCGCTCACTCTCAATGTTGGCATACTCATTGACAACATACTGGTGAAAGAGGTTGGCGCACCATAATATGTGGTTTCCTCCTCTGTCCATGATCACGAAGGAATATAAGTTTTTTTTAGAGGAGACAGTTGTGTGAGGATGTGTTTGTCCTGCAGATTTGTAAATGGAGGAATGTTGACGTGGTACCCATCTTGACCTTGCGACAGGAAAATGTGTCATTGTAGGGCATTGTATGTTCTGTTAGTGTCAGGCAATCGTGTGATGGTGTTTTCTTGGTATGGAAGAACAATGTCTCTCTCACAATGTTCCTCACCCACCATAAGAAAGCAAGGTCAACAATATTTGGGGCATTGAACCTCCCTGCGTGCTCCCCGCTTTGGTGGAAAGTAAAGGTGCGGTACAGCAAAATAAAAATGGGTGATGTTCCCACAAATGTAACAAAATGATAGACGAAATCTAATGGGCTGTAGCTAAGAAAGTCCAACGTATTTGGTGGTGGGTGTACACCCATGTCCCCATTCCAACCTAAGGTGGTCTGGTCTCAGCTAGCTGATAGAAGTTGCAAGTGAGAATTTAATCATCGCTTGCGGCTGGGGTTGGCATTGTCCTCTACTCCTGATGTCGAGGGTAAATGGGCGAGGTTTAGGACTGTGACTCATGCAGCTGCAATGGCTGCTTTGGGTACGCAGTCAAAACCTCCCAGAGACCCTGGCTGACAGAGGATGTGTTCAGGATGGTTGAGAAAAAGTGACAGGCCCACTCTAATCGTCTACAGAATCCCACGTCAGAGAATGAGGAGGCTTACCGCAGCCTTTGCTCGGAGGTTCGGAGAGCCGTGAGGCGCTGCAAGGATGGTTGGTGGTTGCTGGTTGTTTGAGGAGATGGAGTTTGCCTCAATGGCCCACAATCACAAATCCCTATTTAACTCCATCAAAAAAGTAACCTGCAGCGCCACACCTATTACCATCATTAAGGGAAAGAACGGTAATCCAATCTCCGACCCCCAGGAACAGGTTTGCAGATTTGCTGAGTATTTTTGTGAGGTCCTGACGGAGAGGGGGAATCCCTCAGCATGGAAAACATCATGGGACAAAGTGGGGATGACCCTGCTGAGGCTGCGGTGCCTCAAATATTGGATGAGGAATTCACCCTCTTTTAGTGGCTGGCTGAGGTGCCATCCGTTGAGGAAGTACTGAAGGTGATTCCAGAGTCTGAGACCAGGAAAGGCACCAGGCAGAGATGATGATCTCCCAAGCGAAATGCTGAGGGAGGTTGGCGTTTGTGCGTAGACTGCCCTACATGACATCATAACAACAGTCTGGGCCACTGGACGGGTTCTGCAGGATTGGAAGGATGCCCTGGTTGCCCCCCTCTTTAAGAAGAGGGACCGCACAGACTGTAACAACCACAGGGGCATCTCACTACTCAGTGTGCCGGGAAAGGTCCTGGCAAGGATTATTCAACATCGCCTTGCTAGGCACGCAGAGGAGAGACTTGCGGAGCCCCAATGCGGTTTCAGGAAAGGGCAGTCCTGCACAGATGCCATATTTTCTGTCAGTCTGCTACAGGAGAGGTGTAGGGAATTCCAACAAGACCTACATCTCTGCTTTATTGACCTGGTCAAGGCCTATGATACCATCAGTAGGCCTGGGCTCTGGGTTGTTCTTCGTGCTTTCAGAATCCCTGACCCTCTGCTCACGCTCATTAAGGACCTTCATGATGGTGAGCAGGCGGGTAAAACTACGTGGCCGGGAGTCGGAGCCATTCCCTGTACACCTCGGGGTGCGACAGGAATGCCCTCTGGCTCCAATATTATTTAACATTTATTTCGACCATGTAGTTCCTGAAGCCTTCAGTAGCTGTACTGGAGGAATTTCCATCTGGTACAGATACAATGGGAGGCTAATTGATGCCCAGGTGCGGTCAAGAGATGGCTCCCTATTGGTCAACCACATTATATATGCTGACGACCTGGTTATTGCGGCTCACTCAGAGGAGGAGTTGGAGGTGCTGCTGCTGAAATTGGAGTGTGCCACTAAGAGGTGGGGCCTTACCATCAGCCCCACCAAAACGAAGCACCTGCCTGGGTATTTTGTACCATCGGGCACTCCACCCCCACAACTCCCCTAATGGAACATCTTCACCGGTTAGAAACATTTAGGCTGGCCTGCCTACGATTAATCCTGGGTTTAACCAGGCTGGATTGTGTGAGGAGCTCACAAATCCTCGAAAGATCTGGACAAAATCTCATTGGTGAGCTCCTCCGGCAGGCAAGGCTGCGTTGGCTGGGCCATGTAGCCCGCATGCCCAATCACCGTATGCCCAAACATCTTTTGTTCAGCCGGATCGAGGGGGCTAAACAGGCACGGCACGGGCTAGAGAAGAGATGGAGTGATGTGGTACAGGAGGATGTGGAGCTGAGTGGACTTGCCGATGACTGGTACCAGCGGTGTCTAGATCGACCTCTGTGGAGGAGGCTCATGAAGGATGCTACTGGGCAGTTGGAGGCAGTCGCCCTCCAGCAACAACGGAGGGTGGAGGAGCGATGTGGTACAGGAGGATGTGGAGCTGAGTGGACTTGCCGATGACTGGTACCAGCGGTGTCAAGATCGACCCCTGTGGAGGAGGCTCGTGAAGGATGCTACTGAGCAGTTGGAGGCAGTTGCCCTCCAGCAACAATGGAGGGTGGAGGAGCGACACTCACAACAACGAGCAGGGCGCCGGGTGGCTAAAGCACAGCAAGTTGGCACAGTAGGGGGCACAGGTGGTACATCAGCCAGTCATCTCAGTCGACCTGAGGCACCTGGGTCTGCCCCGTGACCTGCCAGTGGGCGTTCGACACTTCACGTGGCCTCAAGGTGCACATAGCCTGACCCGAGCGTCGTGGTGACGTCACCGCCACTTGGTGGCAAGTGGCGGTTGTTGTTGTGATTGAGTTCATATGTGTGTGTGATTAGATCCATGTTTGTGTGTAAGTCGATGTGTGTCTGTATTTTTTGCCCGGGCAACGCCAGATGTCTGTGTGTGTGAGTCCATATGTGTGTGTGTGTGAGTCCATATGTGTGTGTGTGAGTCCATATGTGTGTGTGTGAGTCCATATGTGTGTGTGTGTGAGTCCATATGTGTGTGTGAGTCCATATGTGTGTGTGAGTCCATATGTATTTGTGTGAGTCCATATGTATGTGTGTGAGTCCATATGTATGTGTGTGAGTCCATATGTGTGTGTGTGTGAGTCGATATGTGTGTGTAACTCCACGTGTGTGTATCTAAAGTCCATGTCTGTGTGTGTGAGTCTGTATGTGTGTGTAGGCCAATGTGTGTGTGAGTCTATGTATGTGTGTGTGTGAGTCGATGTGTGTGCGTGGGTCCATGTGCTTGTGTAAGTCCATCTGTGTGTGTCTTAGTCAATATGTATGTGTGTAAGTCCAAATGTCTGCTTGGGTCGATGTGTGTGTGTGTGAGAGTCTACGTATGTGTGTGAGTTGCTGTATGTGTGTACGTCGATTTGTGTGTGTAAATCCATGTGTGTGTATCTAAAGTGGATGTCAGTGTGTGTCCATATGTGTGTGTAAGTCGATGTGTTTGTGTGTGGGTCGATGTCTGTGTGTGTGTCTTAGTCGATGTGTGTGTGTGTGTCTTTTTCGCCCGGGCAACACCGGGTACGTCCCGCTAGTCTTACCTATAAAAGGATTTTTTTTGTCTGTCCGTCCATCCGTTTGTCCTTCTGTGGACGCGCACTTACGAAGGATTTGACTCGCAAACCGTGGAGTTAACGTTTAAAAAACGTAGCCTGGTACCACGCCGTAAGCCCCTTGGTGAGCCAGGGCTATTCCATTTCCCCATCTGTCAACTTTAAAGTAGTTAAATTAACAATGTAGTGCTATTTCTCATTATTTAATTATTTCATCGCGAGGCTAAAGCTGCTCGGGGGGGTGCCCCTAACAACGCACACGCGTCATCGGTGGAGGGTGGGGGGGGGATTTCTCCTTGGCGTTCAAAATGCAAAAAAAATACACAGCGCTGAGGTCAATTCATAAAAGTGTCATGTCCTCTTCTCTACCCCCCCACCCCAATGTTTGCACTTACTACTATAGGGTCGGTAGAAACTAATAATATAGCGCTTAAATAGTATTATTGTAGCGCGGGCGGGGGGATGGTGGGGGGGGGGGGTAGTGGCCCAGACCCCAGCCTCGGCCGGCTCGTGCTAATTGAGGTTAACCGTTGCCCTATTTAACAACGCATTAATCGGGCACGAGCTTGCGTTGCTAATCAATAATCGATGTTTTCGGCCGGCATGCGGCCACACCCTACGGTTCGCAATCTGACGTTTGCGACTTTAAATCCCAGGTTGAGGCTCAACTCGCCCGACACTGCTGTCCCGACAGAGTTGATGCTTGGTGGTGGTACTTGGCCCCCACCATGGGAATGTGGAATCGTCGCCGCTCAGATCAGGGCCGTTAATGGAGGTGGCTGCTGTTGCGTGCTCATGGGGAAACGCGTTTAAGATGTCGGTACGTCGGGCGGCAGTGCTGTGTGTTGTATACGGCTTCAGGAGTTTTTGGCGTGTCGTGATAACGAGTGTTTACTATCGCTTACTGCCGTAACTACTTGGCTTTCTGTCATTTTAGGGACCCTTCCTTGGAAATCGATGGAACGGTGAAAAAACATTGCAGGTGTGGCGCGTATGAAATACGAGATGCACATGTTGAACGAATTGATTAAAACAATCGTGTCTAGCATTACGATTTAGATTTTCGAAAGGAAAGGCATCTATTGTATAAAATAAATAAATATATAACCAATGGGGAAAATAAAAAAAGAGAGAATAGATAGGCAGCAAGGCAAGGCAGCAATCTGAAGAGAGTACGAGTGAGATAGAAGGACAGCGAGCTTTGAATAGCAGCCATAAGCAGCGACAATAGGAGGCTGACAAACCGCCACGGCCAGAGGCAAGAGGACCGCATCAAGCAAATTGCTCAATAGACATTTTTCAAACGGGACTGGAAGGGGGGGTGGGGGCGTGGGGAGAGCTAGAAGGGGCGATAGGAAGACAGGTTGGTGTTGGGGTGGAGCACGGAAGAGCGGAGCGGCATGGGGAGGAAGCTGGACCTGTCGGGGCTGACGGAGGACGAGGCGCGACTCGTCCTGCGCGTCGTGGAGAGGGACGGGAGAGTCCGCCAGCGCGAGACCGAGCGGCTCAAGTGAGTACACGACCCCAGGTGGTGAGGGTCGGACGGGGGGGGGGGGTGGCTGCTGTCATGATCACCCACATTCGTCACGGTCGTTATCTGTCATCGGAATGCATCATCACGGTCATCGTCTCTCCATACGATCGGTCATCGTTAATCATTCACTATGGTGGTCATTGCTCATTGTGATAATTATCATCATCGTCATCATTGTAATCATCATTTTTCATAATCATCATTATCCGCATTATCATCATTAATCAAGATCGTCATTCATCGCGATTATCACCATCATCTGTCATTAATGACAATCACCATTCATCATTATCATGATCATCTGTCATGTTCATGGCCACCACCGTTGTTAGAGCCGTGATTATTGCCACCATCGTCATCACCACCACAATCATCATTACCACTGTGATATCCCTATAATTAGCTTCATCATCACTATACCACTGTCATCATCATCATCTATACATATACGATGTACAATTCCGAATGCAGGTCTCAATGATGAGGTATATGCTTTGAATAATCTATGTGATTTTAATAAATTAATTTAAATTAAAAATCGTGGGAGTTTGGCAATTAAAACAAGAATATAAAAAACACTTAATTATAGGACAGGTTGTCAAAACAGTGAATTGCGCGCACACACAAAAGACAGACAAAGATCCCCTGTATAGCCTCAACAGACTGTAGGGGCAAGTGCTGTTAGCGAGCACCTATGAAGGCCAGCACGGCACACGACGGGGTGGGTGGCCAACACCACGCCCGACCGCCTTTGTCTCCCTAGTGACGATGTTTACACACCGCACCAGGTACTCATTTGAGGCCCAGGACCGGTTCAGTTAATCGTCACTGGTGTTGGCCGTGAGCGGGAATCGAACCCGGGTTGCCAGGGTTCATAGCGCAGCGCGCTAACCGCTACACTACCGCTCCCCATACACACACACACAGACACGCCACACGGGAAAAGCAATTCCATTTCGATTTGAGACAACCACAAAAAAAATATACGACACGGTTGTGACCGGCTAAAAATAAATCCATTTACACGTAATGACACAGCACTCGCTCAACCCCGCTTCACTCGGGCCCCACCGCAGTATTCGCAAGCACGTCCCGACTATCGCCCTGCGGTCAAGCGTGGCGCCGGCCGATGTCGCAGCGCTGACCGTGTGTCACAAGCTGCTGGGCACACGCCGAGGTCGTGCGGAGTCGCATCGGCCCAATTGATGGGAAAGCGACGCGGTCGGAAGTCCGCGACGTGGATCGTTGGCCGATCGCCCCGAGTGGTCCTCCGGATGCCACCTTTGCCTTCTGCGAGACGGATGTTGCGTTTTTTTATTTTTTTTTGACATGACCTCAATTGCCACGTGCACATACCGCCCTTCGCCGTGCATCCCTCGCCCTGCTGCGCCCAGTCTCGCTCCTTTTCCCTTCTTGCTTCCCTCCACTGGAACCAACTCCCACCGCACATGAAATGAACAATTTTCACGAGCCTGCTTCCGTTCCTTCCTTAAAACAACCCCTATCTCTTGCCCATCATTCTGATACCACCCCCCGCCCCCTAGCTACCAGGCCTACTCCAACCCTTAGCACTACCCCAACGCCTATCACTACCGATATCACTACCCCAACCACTCTCACTACTCCAGACCCTATCACTACCACTACCCCTATCACTACCCCAACGCCTATTACGACCCCTATCACTATCCCTATCAATACGCAAATTCCTATTACTTCCCCAACCTCTATCACTACTCCGACCTCTATTACTAACCCTACCCATATCATTGCCCCTATCACTACTCCTACCCCTATCACTACCCCAACCAAACCACACCCTCACAAGCCCCAAACACACAACCACACTGGGACATGTGGGCAAATGGATACACCTCAACCCCCACCCCCCCCACACACACACACATACACACCTAACCCCGCCGTCCCTACAGATACACACCGAACCGCACACGCTGAACTACACGGAGCAACAACACGCGCGCACTAAACAAAGACAAAACATCTCCCGTGTGGCTTTAACAGACTGTTGGGGCAAGTGCCTTTAGCGAACACTTATGTAGGCCGGCACGGCACACGAGGGGGTGCATGGCCAGCACCACACCCGGCCGCCTTTGTCTCCCTAGTGGCGATGTTTACACACCGTGCTAGGCACTCATTTTAAGCTGAGTCGACCTAGGGGAGGCCCAGGACCTGTTCAGATAATCGTCACTGGTATTGGCCGTGAGCGGGAATCCAACTCGGGGCACCGGGTTCGTAGTGCAGCGTAGCGCTAACCGCTTCCACCACCGCTCCGCTCACCTAACCGTGCCCGTGTCACCACACATACACACGCACGAACGCCCACACGTACCCAAACACACGTTTGCACACGCACACACACACATGGAAGCGCAGACGCACTCACTCAGACGAGCCGAAAATAGAAAAGTTCGGAGTTGAGCTGACCGCAGTATTGGCCGAGTGATTCAAGTCAACAACACAGAGGCACGTTCACCTCAGATTTTGAGCTCAGCCATTCGTGCACCATCGCAGCCACCGTGGTTAGCCATCGAGTCTCGTGTGCAATCGCATTTACTCTCGCGTGAATCTGGCTTGGGGTTTAAGGTTGCTGGCTCAGAATTGATCCGGTTCTTTTCATAGGGCTGTAGGTCCCAAAATGCCTGCCGGTAAGGGGTGAATTAAGCCCGTCATCATCGACATCATCAACGCCATCATTCATCTCCTTTACAATCTATAAGAAGCCGTGTACCACATTGTGGGGAAGTTAGCAGTGTTTGTTCTACGGGGATGCTGGAACCCATCGTGGACAAGAGAGATGACCTCCGGTGACCGACAGCAGTGAAATGGCACCGGCGGCGGTTGCTCTTTCCCTGCTTTGTTTGCGGTTCGAATCCAGCGGCCGCCCCCTGGTTATTACTGCAGCGTGTGTATTAACCGTCGTGATATGGGCACTTCACAGTGGATGTTAAAGATCCCCCCCCCCCACCGACGTTGTTTGGGATAGGTAGGCCACTGCGTGTTGCCGGTGTCACGGTCCCGATTTTTCTTCTTCCCAAATTCGAAAAGTGCCCGTGAATTACTCAATCGCACACGAATGCCCCAGGTTACTCTTGCAAAAATGAGATTGATCCTGGTGTCACTTGATTAAACAAAATTAACTTCAACGTGAGCTACAATTGCCTTAAATTGACAATTACTCAGGGGACCAAAGCCCCCCCCCCCCCCCCCAACTCTTGCAATGGTGAGAATCGTCGAATAAACTGTTGGGACAAGTGTTGCTTGCGAGCACCTACGAAGGCCAGTACGGCACACGCGGTGTGAGGTGGCCAGCACTTCACATTTGTCTCCCCTAGTGACGATATTTACACATCACGCCACGTGCTAATTTAAGGCTGGATCGACCTAGGGGAGGCCCAGCACCGGTTAAAATACCCATCGCCGACGTTGGCCGAATGAGCGGGAACTGAACTCGGGGTCACGGGTTGGTAACGCGGCGTGCTAACCCGCTGCGCCACGGCTCCCCGCAAAATTTCCACGTGCGCACACACACGCGCTCATATCTCTACGTCATCTTGCAACTATCTTTTAATTCATGGGAGTCCTTGCTGGACCCACGTCCGCATTTGTCAGCCGGTTGCATTTACAGCTCATTTAAATGCATTGCACTCGAAGGCAGTTTGTTGTCCCTACTCCAGATTTGACCCCCTCCCTCCCTCCCGCGCTCTCCCCCGATGCCCTTGAGGGGTCAGGTGGACTCCTCTGCATGAAATTGAACACGCACACCGCCCTTCACGGATGCATGCGGTAGGACCAGAGAGGGCCCTCGGCGGCGTCGGCTGTTTGGTAATTCAGTCCGTCTTCTGGGGAACCGCGTGACGTACGTAGGACGTTCAGCATCGGGCGTTTTCTTCTTCCCCATCCCGTGACGCACAATGTTCCAGCGAGACAGCTGATCGTTTTACACGTTTCCCCCACTCCCCTCCTTCCACCCTTTTTGCGCGGGCGCACGTTTGAATAGACATTGATTGGACCGGCGGGGAAGGGGAGCTCTGCTGTACTCGTCGGAAGCCTTTGTGAGTCTCGTCCCCCGAGCAAGCCTAGGTGGGTCTGCTGCCGTTGATGCTTTACAGTAACCACGGCCAAATCCAACCCCGCTTCCGCCACGGACGACTCCACTTTTAAATTGACCACTGCTTAAAGATTCGTGTTAACTGCGCCCACGGAGAGACCATGCAAACTCCAAATATACAGGCGTCAGAGTGGGGTGGGGGGGGGCAGAGGGGTGGGAGGGGGGGCAGAGGGGTGGGGGCGGGCAGAGGGGTGGGGGTGGCAGAGGGGTGTGGGGGGGGGCTGTGCGTGGCTTCCGTGAATCGGCGGCGTGTTTATGAAATGCAAAGTGGCCACTTAGCGTGAGATTTAATGCAACGTATTCAGGATTAACGGCGGGGGGCCGGGGGATGACAACGTTCCACGCTAGTGCGCGGATAGTGGAGTTGGGTGTTGAAATAAATACGAAACGTCGTTGACGATTTGTTTTGTAACCCCCAATTTTTTTTTATCGCTGCCTTTTAATGAAGCGAGCCGGAAGGCGACAAATCTCCCGACTCGGCTGACACGGAGAATGGACTTTAAAGTGGCAAGACGGATGATAAATTGGAAATTCATCCGTGTTTTTATTATTCTTTTAAATCTACACCATCCCCCCTCCCCCCCTCCGTAGACTTTAAATTGAGTTGTTCGCTCGGAGTGTTGTTGTTGTTGTTGAGCGCAAGCGCATAAGAGAGACGCGGGGGTTGTAAATCTCGCTCACGTTTCACAAACATCACTGCAGATGTAAAAAAAAAACAAGAGGAAAAATATAAAAAGTAAGCAAGAGCTGCACACAGTTGAATTTCAGTAAGCTGCACGCGTCGCTGCACTCCAAGAACCATAATTGTGGTAACGATTGATTTATTTTACCAGGTAAGGCCCCC